TTTTTCTTCGTCTATTTAGTGGTGCAGTTTCAAAACCCAAAACTCAAATATTTCTTTCTATTTGTTCGTTTCTTGGTGAGGTGTATTTCTCATTCGGTCTTTCTGTCTATTTGCGCCATTCATGATGGACCTGTTCGCTTCGAATCGTTGCATAACGCACCATTCGGATTGTTCGTTTTTGATGAGGTTCTTTCAGGTCTATCTGACCAAAAAAACTCTTTTGTTTCGTTTGAACTTTTTCGAAGTAATTATTTTTGTTATCTTAGTCTTGCTTGCACTTGCTGTTCTCTTTCTCCCACACTTTCTATATTCTCGCTCACATTAAACCATTTCTCTCTCTTTCCTTTTGTCCCTATGTGTGTTTCACGTGTGAGAGAACTAATAAGAAATGAAGGGAAAGAGAGAGAGAAAACGCGCTATGAAAGGCGCGCATACAAATGGTTTCAATGTCCGTTTACGGTTGAGAGCTCATTTTTGCATTTAAAATGCATAAACACATCAGATAAAGTAGAATCCAGTGAGTTCCCAAAGGAAACCCATTTATATAGACCCAAGAGTGCATTACATTCGGTTGATTTTCGATTTTTTTATCGTACTCCTTCGTCTTACATTCTTGTCTCGGTCACTCTTCTTTTTCTTTATCATTCTTTCAAATATTCACTATTTCTCTCACACTCCTTTGTCCACAATCAATAGTTCTATCTCTATAAATCGAAATTCTTGTTTATTTTTATTGCTTTGCCGTGGAAGTGGATTACACACACGCGGTCAACCGTTTCGGGCCGAATGAAAGATTATCTGTGAACCGCCACAGCACAATAGTAATATTTTATGAATTATGGACTTTTGACGGAATTAAATGGCAGAAATAGCATGTTTATTTTATTTTTCTGTCAAATTTCGACTCTTTTAATTGACCCAAAAACTTACCTGTACTTTTTTCCCACTCATTTTCGACTAGAAGATAAGATTGCCCACTAAAAAGCAAAACATGAATTCAAAAGATTCACTTTTTCATAAGTGTCTATAAATCTAGACAGAAGTAAATATACATAGTCTCTACCGTCTCTGTCTGCTTTTGGTGTTTATTTTTTTGTTGCTGCCGTTGCTGTCATTTGCAAATTCATTGGCAGGTAGCTCAGCAAGTGCATGAAATATTTTGCGTTTACATGAACAAATCGGAGCTAGGGGTCATTTCTTTCGTAATAAAAAGAAACACGGGGAAATTGCATGCATAGAAACCATAGTAAAGTCAAGCGACGGATTCTTATAACAATGGACGAAAGCAAAATACAAAACAGAAACAGAAAGGAAAAAAAACACACAACAAATACCATAAACATAAATATATATATTTCGCGTGCACAATTTTGTGAATAAAATGTACAAGAGACAAGAGGCTTTGGCCAACAACAGCAATGATTGCCATTTCGGCATGAAAAACAAACGACTTATGTACAAGCATTAAAAATGGTCGATGCGCGTTTGCATACACTCACACCGAGTGAAGTCTCAGAGATTATAGTCAAGCACATTTTTCCCATGTGCTCACGATCCGTGAATTTACTCGATGTGTATATTTAATGCATTTTTCGAATGAGAAAGAGAGAAAAAAACACACGTACACTTTCACACACACACCCGTCAAGAGAGGGAGAGAGACATTTAAACTGCAATAACTTTTCGCTTAGATTAGCTTAAGAATTCTGGTCAACTTAATGTCAACAACAAAAAAAATGTTTTTTTTTATTATTTTTCATTGCATATTTCATTTGAATATCAAATCCAGCGGTGTGACTTGTTTATGAGTACTTTTATTTGCTGGACTCACAATGTCTTTTACTTTTGCTTACATCAAACAACAAAGTATAATGTTCAACTATGATAAATACAATGGTAATGCACCGAAAATACAGAAGAAAAATGAGAAAGAGAGAGATTGACAATCATTTTCTCTTGTTGTCGTTTCACATGCCTGCATTCATTGCTTCGAATGGGTTTATAGTTTGAATAGATGTGGTTCCATATTTCTTTACAAGTCTCGACGCCGATTATATAATCAACGGATGAGTACGCGAAACGCAACTCGCTGTCATCACTCATCAAAATACATTTCTCTCTTTCTCTCTCATGCTTGTTTCTCAAAGATGAATTACCACACTCTTAATGATATATGTTTCAAATATTTTCCTCTGTCGCTTCTTAAAATTTTATAGAAAGAGAACTGAAGGTGAATCCCGTTTGATTTGTGCACACACTTTTCGTGGGATATTTCTCTCTCTCTCTCTGTGTGTCTCTGCTTTGTGTGAGTTTTCTTCACAAAATTGTGGTATTTACATTTTATTTGTCATGGTTGTGTCCACTTGTTATTTGAACGAGAGAAGAATTCACTGTTTGTCGCTGCTTATGACATTCCAAACTCGGACACGCAATACGACGATGAAAATCACTGATGCTTAAAGTGCATACTCGATACTCAGTCGAATGACATAATTAAAAACATAAAAATAAACTTGAGAACAACTAAAGCAGCTGTATCAGAAATAACGAGAGTGCGCTTATGACACTTTAAAATGATTCACTTGTTTATGAAATTCGATCATAGTCGTTGTCCGTGAGCGCGTCATTTCGTTCTTCGGTCGCATCGAATATCCAACATTATATTGATACAGTTGAGTGGTGCAAGAGTAAGACTTCATCAAAAAACGGACATTTGTTGACGAAACATGCTAAAGATTGACACATATCGATAGTTTAAAAAAAAAAAAAAGAATGGCCATCAAGTACGTAAATCATGCAATGGCAATTTAGCATCAATTCATCTAGCTGACGCCTTGAGAGCGTGTCTGTGTGTGTGTGTCTGTGTGTCTATGCGTATTCAAACAGAGATTAGTTCAAGGGAAAATGAAAGAGTGAAAAATTATTTTCATATGGTAAAATCATGCAAATTATATCACGATCGCATAAATTTTTGAATTTAACCCATAAGCCAAGCAGTTTTAATGCATATTAGATGCTAAGTGACACACATAATCAAAAATAAAAGCCACACTTTCAATTGAAACTTTTTTCCCCTTAAAATCCAAAGTTTAACAAAGCCGAAAAAAAAAACAACGAAACAGAAAACACAAAAGACTTCCCCGTAATATGCAATACAGGTGTGACTCAGTCGAAGAGGTGCGTGCAACAATAATATTAATTATGTGTGAGAGATTTTTGTTTTCAAGACCTCATTATGAACCGTCATGAATGCGCTCACTTGCGTATTCTCTCTCACACAAAAATTATCATACAATGTGGAAATAAAAATGGTGGTTTACTTTATGCCAATATTTTAAGTGATCCGAAATGAGTGCGGATAAAAAAAAGAAGAGTGAAGAGAATCATTGTTTGCAAACTGTCTTCAACGAATGGCACACATTCGCTCTTGCGTCGTTGTACAGAAAATCATCGATTAACCGAGTACTCTTCGAATTGCCGTTTTTTCTCTATCTTCACCAATTTTATCGGCTAAAACTTTCGTCTTCGCTGTTTAATTAGTCGACTGTTGCAACAGAGCTAGCTCAATTTTTTCTCTGTCTCTCTTACTACCGCGTCGTTTTTGCATCGATTGTATGTGATGTTTTTTTCCTTCTCTCTGCTTTTTATTTCCAATTGGCACACATTAACGCACTTGCTTAAGAGCGTTTGTCTTAATTTCAAATATAAAAATGCTTCAACTCTTTTTTTGCATCTCCCCATTATCTTCGATTCGACTGAAGTGAAACCGTGGAACGAGGAAGCGAAATCATGTTCAAAGATTCTCCACATTCAATACACAATTGGTTCGGTGGATTCTTCTTCTTCTTATTTTTTTTTTTCGTTTCAATTTCCGCTTTCCATGCGAAATATATGACTGTCGAGATAATAACAATGATGATGTTGCTACTTGCTGATGGGAAAAAAGAGAGCTTGGGTGCTATAAAGAAAGCGATAAACTTAAATATGGAAAATATGTTAGACGTAAATCAAGAAATGCAGTTGAATAGCTGAAGAAGTAGAAAAAAAAAACGACGCGATAAAAGACAATTATAGCTTTTACAAGTGCATTTTAACCCTTAAATCATGGCACAGAATGAGAGCGTAAGAGACTAAAGAAATTGATGAACCAAAATATATTCATTCTTTCTTTTTATGTTTGTGTGTTTTTATACCAGACAATATATTGAGCTGACTATTTATTTGAAATGAGACAAAATTGCAGGCTAAGCGGGACATTTCGATTGTGTGACAATAACAATTCGGCTCTTTAAGGTGTTACATTGAAGAGTTCTATTTTGGTATTTTCAATGTCTACATTTAGCTTTTATGTTGTCACACAATTCTCACTCACTTCAAATCGTCTCACTTCAAATGAATAGTCAGCTCAATATATGGTCTGGTTTTTACAGCGTGAAATAGCCATGTCTTCACTCATTTCTTCAATGGTACGTGGTGTGTTTTGGCTAATGTCGTTTATTTAACTGTTGAACGAACTCAATAACTTAATTTCCGGCTATAAAATGAACGCATTCATGTTTTCGCTTTATTAGTTACTTTACCAAGCCAAACGGAGAATTGGCATCGAAAAACATACAAACAAAAAATGAAACGGATTCAATTAAATTATAGTCAAGGCCACTCTATTTTAGCTCAAAATGTGTTACAAACTGAAAAAATGGGTCATTTAAAAATGTATAGATACGGTTACGGCACGTCAATAAAAAATTAAAGTTTTGCTTCTTTTTTTTAAACTATAGTTTATTTAATCGAAAATTTGATATTTAAATGATTAAATTTGATGAGCAAAATATACAAATTTGATGATTTAATTATAATTACATTGAAAAAATAATCACATCCTATCATTTTATAATTTAAATTCGATTTCGTTTAAATTGAACGAATGAATTTTATTCAAATTTTATGTGATTTTCTCGTCAATGATCGCTTGCTAATTCTCTCCCTCTTCTCTATTTCAGATGAAACATTATCGATAGCACGAGGTAGCACAGTTCCGTTGGAATGTCCGATAGATATTCAATCATGTGGAAGTTTGCATTCGTTGAAATGGTTTCGCGGCAACGACCGTGTTGCGCTTGTGCCCGGTGATGGTGGTACACCGAATGTTGACGGCCCGTACCGTGGCCGGTGAGTATTTATCCGATATATTTTATATTTAAACTATCGTTTTCCAAACAACAACACCATCAATAACAAACTTTATGCCGAAATGTACTTCATGTATTTTCACAACAAATTATTTGTTTTTCCGTTTCTTTTGTGATTTTTGTTGTTTTTTGTAGCATTACAATTGATCCAGATGGTTCGCACACAAAACTATATATTAAGTCGGTGCAAGTGCATGATGAGGATACGTATAAATGCGTTGTTACTTATTCGGATCCATTGGATTCGTGCGAAAGCAAAGGCTTATACATAATCAAGCTGAACGTATTGGGTGAGTAATGGGATTTATGGGAATCGAATTCGATGAACGCGTTAATACGTCGAAGCCATTTTTTGAACTGTTTTTTTTTTAATTCTTTTCCACTCTCTTTTGTTTGATATACAAAAACTATGTCATAGTTGAACCGTCTACAATGCAAATGCAGGATGAGACGGGACAAATCCTGCAGAACGAAACTGTTGTAGGGCCATTGATTGAAAATGAACGATTTGTAAGCTATTGTGAAGCCCGAATGGGACGACCACGGCCAAATGTTGGATGGTATCTCCATGGAAAACGGTTACCAGGTGAGTTTAATGGTTTATTTTCACTCAAAAATTCAGTTTTTTGCTGGGCACGTAAAATCAATCAAGAAAAACGAAACAAAAATATATTCAACGAAAAATGCACTGATTCCGTCAGAAATCCTATATATGTTGCGAAAAAAGGAAGAAAAACGAAGACGAATATAATGGATTGAAAGGATACAGGACATTGGGGAGAAAGGGAATAAATAAATTGTATCAATACAATTGAATGGAGTCGACAAATGAGAATGTGATTCAATTGAATTTGTGTAGTTAGTTAGTAGCGGATGATTGACGCTTTGGTATGAAAAGGGTCAACCACCTCACCCACATACACTCACACTCTATATAATCTTTTACACCGTCTCTTCGATTTGTCCTTTTTTACTTCTCCAATGCAAATATCCGAGTTGAGTTTGACGGAATTTCCAATTTGTAAGTATAAAATGAATATATGGCAATTGGCCGTTTATCGAATCACATTCAATTCTCTACATAACAATGGTCAATTTTCTACAACCATATATACATGTACTATATGCCATATTCATTGCTAAATGAGCGACAGTGTACCGATTTTCACTACTCATTGCCTTCAATGCAAACACACGCACACACGCGCGCATTCGAATGAACGCAATACACTGGCAAATACGATTTCCACATCCATTTGATGTTCAGTGTTAATCTATTATCGCCATTCAATAGTGAACGTATGTCATTGTATGCTCTGAATGACAATGTGTCTTGGTGGGTATGGGATATGGTGGAAAGTAGGGAAACGAGTGACAACAAATCGCATATTATTGGGAGAATCAACGCCATGTGCAATAGTTCACGCGAGCACGATTTCTATTCAAAGTTTTAGTGTTATCATTAGACATTCACTTCGAACGATTGTATTTTTATAACTGTGAATGTTCAATTGAATTATATTCATTACATACTTGGGAGTCGGCAAGAGTTACTTCAAAGTATTGATACAAAAATGTCGAATTATTGGACAATCAAAACTCGTTCAACTTCTTTTTTTTCTGCGTATGCATTTTATGTGTGAACGATTTCTCATTCATTCGCTGCAATACAGCATTCGCAGCAAAAAATCAAACGAATTCAAAGAAAAAAATCCGATTGACATATGGAAATGTCATGGATGATGACATTTACTGCATCTGTCGAGCTTCTCTTATTCTCTGTAAAAAATGTTTCTTTCATTTTCAACATTCCTAAAAGCTGAATCCAATTATTGAACGAAAAAGCTGGAAGCATGTCGATTTCACATTTAATTAAAAACTACACACTTTCAACGATCGAAAAAATTAAACTAATAATAATATTGAAAATGCAAAAAATCTATCAATTTATCGAACATTTGTCAGAGTTCATGTTTAATATTATATTTTTCATTCTCTCTTGTTCCATTCAGAATCGATATCGACCAGCGAAGGTCCTGACGCAAATGGTTTATTCACGGAAAAAGCGATGTTATCGATGATATTGACGAGGAAGGAAATGGCAGCTACATTCGAGTGTCGCATCGAATCCGAAGCACTTCAAACAATCAAACGATATCAATTAAAAGTCGATTTACAAGGTAACCTCAACATAGATAACTTCACAAAAAAAATATGTCCATCATTTTTCTTCGTCGAAGTATAATTTATCTACACAATATTAAATTTTTGTTTATCATTTCTTGCTTTAATTGAAAAATCTCCAAACAAATTAGCCAATTATTCATTTTATTTTGCCATTTCACCCATTTGCGTTTATTGAAAAACATATTTTCGTAAATGAAAATGAATGATTTATAAATGGCAACTGTGTATTACAGTACGACCGAGGAAGGTGGAAGTGAGTGGCGTTCGAACGCATACTGTTCAAGGAAGCACCGTATCGCTGTTGTGTAAGGTAATGCGCTTTTGAATTCAAGTTATTTTCTATTTTTTGCACCGTTTTGTCTTAGGAAACACAGACACAAACACTCAACGACTAACTTTCCAATTTCCACGCAAGCACTAGCATCTTTAAAAAAAGTCGACATAACCGACGAACTCGAACCAGAACTTATCCCGTTAAGTTTTACATTATGCTTTTGTAGAACTTGATGAAATAATTACGTTTCGTACGTGCGAAACACCTTTCTTTGCTACTTTCTCTCTTCCTTTTTATTACAATTCTTCTCTCACCTGCTCATTGTCTATGCATGCCATTATCGAATCCTGTAAAGTTCAAACTGATGGTTTTTGCACATTTTCATACATTCGTTTTTCTTTCACTTTTTCAAATATCGCACATAAAACTTATGTATGTGTTTTTGAAGAAAAAAAAGAGCATTCATGATTTTGGGATACCATGAATTTGAAACAGGCAAACCAACTAAACCACAACATCCCAATGACAGGTGAACATATTCGTTTTCAACGTAGAAAAATAAATGCAAGCGAATATTAAATGGAATTTGGAACTATCAATTACGAATGAATTTTCAGTTTTCATTCGTAGACTTTCTTTTCGATTATAACAAACCATTTACACTTGTTGTCTTATTGCACAAAATCTTTTTGTTTTTGCAAAATCAATTTTTTTTGTGTCATTTTACAGTCCATTTTCAATCCATTGAATTTAAGAAGCCAATTTTCATCGTTACCTGTACCTTGATACTGTTGATCCTACTTAAAAGTTTTTTTTAACCCTTTCTTTGGTGTACTTGATGGGATAAATAAAATCGGAGCATCTAAACTAAATTTGTGTACACCACTTAAATCACTATCAACAGATTTACCGAAAGAAAGTGAAGCAAGAAAAAAAAAACATATTTTTTTCCAAGTTGTATCCATTAAAGGGCACTTGTTTTTGTCTCTATTTCAATGGCCTGAATGTGTTTGTTGAATCAAACACACTCAAATAGTTAGGAAATATAAAAAAAAACTTTGAAAGTTTTCTTTTAGCCAGCTTTCTGAAAGAAAGATTTTGAGTGTGTGTGTATGTTTGTTTGAGTAAGGAATAGTAGTTTCGAGATGTTGATAAACACCACTAAATTGAATGTTGACCATAGGCACTTGGAACGAAGTCTCGTATTCCATGGAAAATGCTGAACAGTTATGCGTTCTGTGTGTGTGAGCGGTAGCGATAAACAATAAAGTTGCATTTATTTAATTTTCCATTGTGCATAAAAGTTTAGTGCTGTGGTTCAGACGGTTTACGTCGCCAAATATATTTTCTGAGAGGAAAATAGAGAAATTGCTCGAGTACCCAGCTGATGCGGAAAAAAGCGATCACAATGGAATAGAAAAAAAAGAAGCGAACGAAGAAAAAGAAATGTTTAGTTGAACAACAGTTTTCAATTCTGTCATACATCATGATGTATTATTTATGTGTTCAATTTGTATACTGAAATACATAAAAAAAGCATTAAGATAGATTCAATCATTCGAACGCATCTCAAACTTCTGCTTGTAGAACATGTTTCGCGCAAACATTTCATGAAACAAGAAGAAAAATAGAGATATAGAAAATAAGAACTATTCTATAAAAATGAAAAACCTTTGCACTCAAAGTGTGTGATTTAGTATTACTAAATATGATCGTAAAGTGAATGAAAAGGATTCTTCAAATATATTATATGTAATAATCAACAGGTGTTTGGTGCTCGACCGGCGGCAAATGTAACGTGGTATAACAACACTACACCGCTACGGTTGGATGGGCCACACACCATCAATGAGAAATCGGTACGTATCACTTCATTTAAATAATAAATTAAGCAATTAAATAAACTCAATCACCCCGATGTAAATGAAGTCCAAATTAATCAGATTTTGCCACCAAAAAAACAAAAATCAAATCAATTCTCGTCAATTTTTTCATCGATTAGTAAATTATGAATTACAAGTGATTACTGCAATTACACCACAAATATCTCGATTTAAATAGTTAATGTCTTTTTTTTTGTATGAAATTTGTATTGGATGGCCGTTGGAATCCAAATTATAGGAAGAGATCAGTGACACTACATTCACAACGTATAGTCAACTCTCGTTTACAGCGACGCGATACGAAAATGGTGTGAACTTCCGATGTGAAGCAGACAATATTGTCATGCAAAATGAATTAGAAAAACCGCTGAGCAATTTTTTATATCTTACGGTTATGTGTAAGTGTGAACGACAAAAAAGTCTTTGTTTTATAGTGCTCATTTTGCATGAGAAAAATGAGAGCTGCTCAAAAATGCGCATAAAATTTGAATATAATTTTTTCTTTCTTTTGGCAGATCCACCAGTCGTAACCGTTTCGCCATCAAATTTGCTGGTAACTGAAAATGGTGACATTTATTTGGATTGTCGGTATGATTCGAATCCGTCGTCATTGAAACGGGTTACTTGGTAAGTTTTAAAAAAATCATTCTTCGATTTTACAGTGGAGGTTAGGGCCTTTCTGCCATTAGCCCCAAAATATTGGGGATCACTTTGTCCAACAAAAGAATGGTAATAATAAGAATAATTTTGACGTTAATACATTTTTACAGGAAACGAAATGGCGTACCGTTAGTTGTAGACGGGCACCGTATGGGTGGTGGTAATGTGGAAAGCATTGGTTTGAAAATACAACAAGTGTTGCGTACCGATCTGGGTAACTACACATTCTTCTCAACAAATAATTTTCTCTGGCCCTTCATTCTTTTTTTATTTTTTAGGTAACTACACATGTGAATTGCAGAATGAATATGGTATCGGTGTATCGGACAATTCTATTAGTTTGGATGTTCACTGTAAGTGCCAAAAAATGCATGAATACTCATCCCTCGCAATTTCAATTGAAAATACAAAGCGAGAGAGAACGCGAGAGAGAGAGAAAGAAACAAGTGTTGTGTTTAAAATATGAATTGAAAAGCCGAGGCCAAATAGCCAATTCAGGCAGCATAAAGAAAATGACACGAACGGGTTCAAAACTAACATTTATGTTATAAATTTTGTGACTTCGAATACGATGCACAATATAATCATTGATTGGGTGAAAATGTGCTTGTGTATGCATGTGCGCACCATTTTTTTCCGCTGTCTATCTAATAATCGTGTCGAAATCGCTTGACCACTGTCAGTGTTACTCGTTCGCTTGTTCGCAATCATTCGGGACCAAATTCACTTATGCACTATCGAAAATGTGTGCGGAATTTTTTTCTTCTTCTTGTTATTCACCCGTGAATCGTTTGCCAACAAATGCAGATTGAAAACGAAGCCAGAACAAAGAGAACGAAAATATTCGGATAAAAAGTGTGTGGGGTGGGAAAACTGTCCAAAAAATGGTTAAATATTCATTTTTCTGCATTGCAATCTAAAATTCAGTGATATTTTGTTCACAGCGAGTGTCTGCTAGAATCACTGCTGCCGCCTTTACTGCTGTTGAATACACACACACGTCCGTATATTTTCAAAGGACGTATATTTTACCGAAATACATTTAATTTGCTTTCACAGCACAAAAGCGAAATGAATGGATCGCTTTTTATGCTTTCATTCAACACTCTTTCTTTCTCTCTCTCTCTCTCGCTCTATCATTATAATTTATGTCATATTTTATTTTTCATCTCTAACTCACCGTATTTGACTACTAGAAATATTGAACTAGTTCGATTGGCGAGAGAAAAAGTTAAGCAACTATTTTGAAACTAATACAAAAAAATTAAATGTTTTTTTTCTGTTTGTTTGTCTATTTTTTTTCGTCTGTATTTTTTCGTGTACGTTTGTTTGTGGTTTTGTGAACTGTGTGTGGGAAATAGATCCACCAGTAGTTGAGCTGTTGATGGAGCCAGACACACCAATCATCGAACATGATGCCGTCAATGTGACGCTAATATGTCGCATAATCTCCGGCAATCCGGCCACACTGTCGCGAGTTACATGGTATTTGGATGGTGGAATTCTTAAAGAACTACCCGAATGCAACGGAGGTAGTGATGATGCATTGTGTGGCGTTGATCCGGACATCTTATTGTTGGAAAATGTTGGTCGTCATTTTCTCGGCAATTATTCGTGCGAAGGCCAGAATACAGCCGGTGGTGGTAATCGGAGCGTTGACAGAGAATTAATCGTATATTATGAACCGGGAAAGGCGACATTGCTACATTATCCATTGGTGACAAGTAAGAAAAAATCCGTTACACTATTTTGTTCGGTTGAAGATGGTGGCAATCCAAATGCCACCCAATACAAATGGTTGCGCAGCGGAAGTGTTTTACAATATGACACAGCAATGATAACATTAGAAAATCTTGGATTAGAATCGCGTACAAATTTCACATGCTATGCATATAATAAAGGTGGTATTGGTCAAAGTGCTACCATTGCATTGGATGTGTTAGCACCGCCAGCATTTATAAAAGCACTACAACCACGAACAGCCGCTCTATTTTCAACGCAAAATATTTCGCTGTCGTGTCGCGTTGAATGCGTTCCATTGTGCACGATAACATGGTACAAAAATGGCATTGGCATCGAAAAATACGATGAACGCTATGTGATCACTGATACTTTCTTACCGGCCGATAAGGCAATTGGCGACTTTGAAAGTGTACTATCAACATTACATTTTAATATATCGGCGTGGCCAAAACAACAACTGGACATTCATCAAGACAATGCCAACTATTCATGTGTTTCATCAGCGAATAGCGAAGGACCGGGCGTACGGAGCTCAACTGTTTTTCATGTTGAATGTATGTGATTGTATCTTTTTTTCATTTTTTTTCTTCATTTTTTGTTCGTTTTATTCTAAATGTTTGAAAAAAAATCCAATTTCTCTGTTATAAGAGAAAGTATGTATGTTTTTTCGAAAATATATCTCTTTGATATTTTCCCATTTTAAGTTTCAAGTTAGACGAGAAAATATTGCCGAAGCAAAAATTTTAACTTTTCATTTATCTATATATCTATTTTTTCGTTGGTTTCGTTGGATCGGCTTGTTGAAAATTGTAGATCCACCTGAAAATACAACTGTATCAAACGTAACGGTTGATGTGATTGAAGGTAATTCACCGCCTCGAATCACATGCGCTGGCAATGCTTATCCGCCGCTTCAATATCAATGGATTCGCAATGGAACGGTAATTGATGGGTCGCTTTTGCAAATCCACAAGCCAATGACCCGTGAAGATGCTGGAATTTACGAGTGCGTATCGCGAAACAAGCATGGCACTCAAAGCGCTTCTATCGAGATCAATATTTTGTGTAAGTGTTTTTGGAAAGGAAATTCCATATTTTTCGAAACTTGAAAGTTTATTTCTATGCTGTATGTTTGATGAAAAATTTACATCACACGATTGCTTTCGAATTCACAGACAAACCCGACTGTACGATAACAAGACGTGAAATAAATGATGAGGACACGTTAGTGTGTACGGCAAATGGAAATCCAGCAAAGGTAATGTGCTGCTTTTTTGGTTGTGAAAGTTGTGAGATTTTGTTCAATTTAAAATGCAATAAATATGCGTACATATAATATATGTAGATGAGTTTCGAGTGGACGGTGAAAATGGAAAACGAGACCGAAATAATGCCAGAGTCAAGTACAGATGATTCGGATACAGTGAGCCTTTTAACCATAAACGATGACAAAGGCCGTACATATCGATGCATTGCCAACAATTCGGTCGGCATTGGAACAATGTGCAATATTGAAATTACCGGTAAGAGCCAAAAAGTCACATGTATATGTTATACCATTTGAAATTCGATACCATTTTCATTTACCAAATGTTTTATATTTTAAAATCTCACAAACACCATTATATTTACCATAAATAACTTTGGTGGTGGCTTTGCATTCAAATACATACTCTACACTTGACTCTGTCTCTTTCTCACTCGCTAACACAAACACAAAATAACTGTAATTCGACATGAACACGAAAACTTATCTCCGAATAAATGCACACACCGACACAAACACATCCAAATAAATCCCAAAACATGTGCACATCACTAACAACAGTTTGGCCAAAACGTAAGTACAAAACAGCTAAAAATGAATTTCAATATAACTGCAATTCTCTCAATATCTAAATTTCTATATCTTCCTGTGTCTATTCCCAATGAACCATTAGTGTTTCTACTCTTACCACTACTACTGCTATTGCTGTTGAAATAAAAATAAACGAACAGAATGAACATCATTTTAATCAAATCTAAATATATCTATATTTTTTTTTTGTTATTGGTGAACATCATTTGAACAGGACAATATCACTGGTGGCAACACTGGAATACAAATCCGATGATAATAATCATAGCAGCCGTGACTGCCCTTCTGCTCATGGTTATCATCATCTGCTGTATCATCATTTGTATATGCCGTAAGCGACGACAACGTGACAAATGTAAGTAATATGCATTTCGATACTAGTAATAGTGTACTTCAAAACGATTGAAGTACGTTGAGGATTTCGTTCTCTTTCTCTCTGTTACGCCTCATTTTTGCTCATTGTGCTACTACTATGTTTTTCAATTTTTTAACACTTAAACGCTTTATTACAACGTCTACATAGAAAATGTTGAATTGAATTTTTCATTTCATACTCTCTGTCTCTCAATTTTGCTTGTTTATATCACATATAAAAAGGTTCGATGTTATATCATATTATATTCATATATTTTATTTTCGTCTTTTTTTAAAGTTCAGTTCTGCATATTGGTTATTTCGACATTTATCATACATCAATTCGATACATTATAATTATATGAACATTTATTTAATTCGGTATGCTCGTTTCTTTAGTTATGCCATGACAATTTCCATGTTGAATGTTTCCAAATTGTCGAAACTCTCTACCACATCATCTGTCTTGCATTCTCTTTTATCAATTTTGAGTTTAACAAAACTTCATCGCAATTACTGGACTCAGCTTTAAATTCAATAAATCGAAATAATTATTGACACAATTTGATTACAAATCTTTTAAATTGGCACAACAAAGTTTTGTGATGTGCAACATTTTCGTTTGGATTTTACGACGTGCCCAATTGAAATTAAAGATGGTATGAATTTCGATGTCGGTTGACATTTTAGCAAATTCAATTCAGTTCATCTTAACGAAAATTCAATTAAAATTTACCCAGAACCACACAGAATGGATGGTGGTAGTGATGGGATGCTCGAGCACTCCAGTCACATTGTCTGTCGTTCAAGTCAAAGTTTAACTCAAATACATTATTATATTTCGGCCAAATAACCGTCGACGAAATGCGACATATATGGTAAATTATTTTTTATGGTGATATTGACGTTGAACATTTATTGGTCGAATTGGTTGATTTGCCAGCGTCAGCAATATTCTTCCCTGCATCATCAAAAATTCAATTCAATTTTATAAAGTGAGCATTTATGAAAAACAAAACTAAAAAACCCTTTGCGTTTTATGTTGATTTTCTCTAATTTTATTAATCGATAATATATTATTTTAGTATCCTTTTTTGATGTTGTGTTTATTTTTGGTTTTGTTTTTTATTAAAAAATCAACTAACATTTATATGTGATTTTTTTGACTTTTTCTTGTTTTTTTTTTCATGTTAACTTGTTTTGCTTTTTTGTGCCATCATCAAAACGTATTTTAACCGAAAATCCACGCCTAACAATTCAAATAAAAAATTAAAACATATACATACACAAACTTGACAATTACTCAACCATCATAACCGCCAACAAACAATCCAAACAACATATTCGCATCAAACAAACAACAACTCAACATATATTTCAACATTCCATTTAATAAAACACAAAAATATATATATAAAATATAAATTGCCAACAACAACAACAACAACAAAATATACAAAACAAACACCCATAGATCACACGGATGTGTCCATCAGTGCAACACATAGGTAAGCCATATTTTGTTTTTGTTGCGTTGCATTGCGTTCGTTCAATTCAGTTGTTCTCTTATATCCAATGAAAATCGTTTCATGTACTCATTTTTATTTATTTTTGCTGGTTATGTCTATATGATATATATATATATTTCCCGGTTCCATGTGTTTTTACATTTTAAATGCATATATTTTTTGTTTATTGTCGTTGTATTTTGTTGCTAGTAAAACATGTTATAATTCCTTTTTTTAACGTTCGTTGTTTGGTTTAGATATATATTTGTTATTTCCCTTTTCTTGTTCTCTTTCACACTCTCATCAAAATGCATATACACCACACACACACACTTTTTCGTTCACACATTTTGTGATAAAGAACGGAAAAAAACATAACACCGGCTCTTTTGCATTTATGCAAAATGAGCACACAAACATGCGAGATATACATACCGAAAAATGCAAATCACAAAGCCAGAAAAATCCACCATCTGAAATCATAAAAACCATAAATATTGAAAAATGCTAGAGCAAGCCATGAAGCTGGCTAATGTGAACGTTACGTCTCTAGTTCTGGTTCGAGGTTGCCACATCATCAACCATGCCGAATATGTTATTAAAATAAAATGACATGAATTGATCATTCTTCTTTTGGTGGGATTTTATGTGTGAACGTATATGGGATGTGGGGTTAAATTTGCACAATTTTTGGTATGAAGTTTACATGTTTGCACATTTTTGTGGTTATTTTCAATCAAAATTCACATGTGTGCGTGTGCTTTCTATCTCGCTGTCGATGAGTGAGTTTTCGGTGAGATTTAATTTTATTTAACACGCTTGCTTTTTGTGTCCATCAATCCATTCGATTTTTTATTGTTATTATTTTGATTTTTTTTTGTGTGTTCATGAGTGTGTAGATTATTGTGGTTGTGACGAATTTTTTGAGACAAAATGATAAAAGGACTTACATAATAAGAAAGTGTTCATTGTATGCAGAAGTTCCGTAATTTGTTACCATTCCATAAGAAATGTAACAAATACACAAACACACACACTCAATTCATACGACTTTAATCATTTCGCTTTCATCACCCATAAACATTTTCTAACTTTTTTTATACTTCATTCTACCGTGTACGGTATACGCTCTCTTTCGCCTTCCTTTTATCATCATTTCACTCCAATCAAGGATAATAAAACAACAACAAAAAGCTACCAACGCCGTTCCGAACACAAATCAAGATGTTGTCCATTATCCTTTCATCACGACTTATCCATGTATACGTCTAACTCGGTTTTTATCCATCGTAATCTGAAATCTGCAAGTCATTCGGTGCGATGGTCTCAATTCATTCCCTTTTTTTATTAAGAGACCATAAAAGCAATAAATGAATTCATTTTGATTGTTATTGAGTTATTCGATCGATTCAATCGAATTTTATTTTCTTCGGTCTCATGATTGTTGAGCAAGGAAAAGATGAAGAGAGAAAAAAACATCGACCGTATACACAAAAGTTTGGAAAATGATATCGTAACGATGATGATGACAACGACGGTAGTTTCTTCTCTGTAAAAACAAAATTAAGATGCGAAACTCCAATTTCACACATCATCGCATTCGCTAGAAAATCTCATTTCAGGCGGTTTTACTTTGACAGCGTGATTTCAATCAATCATCGTTTAAAATGAATTAATGCAAACTTTCAATCATTTCCATTGATTACGTTCGTTTGTTTTTTTTTTGCGTTGCAGTTGATGAAAACTTTATCCATTTAAATCACAAAAGCAAAATCACTTCGATCGATTCATTTAGAAGTTAATTCTGAAAAATTAGAACATTCATTACAATCGTTTCCATCGATAATTTGCTTAAATGTGAACACAAATCAAAGACAACATTCGATTCGCTTCATTTAGTCAAAAAGAAAATAACGAAATCAATTGAGCTTTTTCCACGCCGACAAATCCTATTAGTTTTATTCGGATGAGACTACAAACGAATCCGATTTGTTCCGGAAACAAATAAGATAGAAAACATGTTGATTCTATCATAACAATAAATTCAATGGCAAAGGAAAAATCTCCCTTTTCTTTCCGTTCGATCACTGTCAATCGAGCAAATCGAATGCTCAAAACTAAATGAATCAATTCGTACACACAAGCATATTTGAATGGCATTTATCCATATAATTGGAGTGTTGAGATGGGTTTTTACGTTGGTCATTTGGTATTATCTCGTTTAATGCCGTAAGCGAATGGAACACATCAGACTTTATATATAGCTGTAAGTTATCAAAAACAAATTCTTCCCTCATCCAAAAACAAATTTCTTTGAATTTTCAACCAGAATGACAAATTACGACTTACTACAGCGACAGCAAATAAACAAATATGTACATTATGAACGTGAATATCAGTTCAAAAAAAATGAAGAGTATGAAAACCTGTTTATAATTGGAACGCTTATTATCATCATTTTTCAGTTTCATTTATTTATTATTTTATAATTTTATGTTTTTATTTGTTTGTTTATTTTTTTTTCGTTTCAATCGCTTTTATTATGCATATACAATTGTGATAAATAAACTTGATATCGGTCAAAAACCTTTGATGGAATCCATTCGAAACCGGATATGCACACAGTGTTTTGTCCGCACAAGCAACAGCTGACTCACCTGCATCAAGATCATGTGCGCCCGAAATTCCGAAAAGTCCACCAAAATGGCCATTGCGACCTGGTGTGCTAGTTCACGTTAAATGCGATACAAAGCAAAATTTGTGCGCTAATCGTGCCCAAAGTCCATTCAACGCATCAACATTGAATACCAGTGGCAATTTGAATAATGTTAGCTATGCATCACCGTTGCTCAGTACAAATTCACGAAATACATCAATGACTAGCGGTAAAGTTGGCAGTGGATCAACAAATCTATCATCAACACCGATTACACTACCCGAACTACCAGCAAGAAATACAAAAACAAATAGTACTGTCATCGCAATCACCACCACTCCCACCACGAATGTAAGTGGTGCAACCGATTCTACAACAAATAATAGTAAAAAAACAACAAAATCCGTTGCAAGAGCGTTGCTCATCGATGAGGATGGAATCACAGCAAAAGTTGAATCCGATGACAGTTCCAAAGAGGATGGGGGCAATCGAATAACTATCCCTACCACCAATAATACTAACAATAACAACAACTCGACGGTCATTGGATCAGTGGACACAACAACTGGATTGTTACAAAATACAGTAACTGTCACAACGTCAGAACCAAACAATGATGAATTGCTACGTTTCACCAGTTCAAATTTGATCGAACGCATACTTGGACGTTTGCGATGGCGACGAGAACAATCCACCAACAATAATGCACACAATGGCACCAACAATGAAGATGGCATTCTGGCAAAGAGTAACAAACGAGCGGTGAGCCTATTGCGTGCCACCGGGTGGTTTGGCAGCGGTAAATCGACCAATTCAACGACTGGACTAATGAGTGACACAACTAAAAACCAAATAAATGGAATTACATGCAGTGAAAGTGGTAAATATCACAAACAAATACGTCTGTCTCAATCACTATTCGATTAGAATTTCGTTTAAATACTACCACTTTCTCTAGTTTATAAATGTACAAATTGTGCACCATGAAAAATTTCAGGACAAAAAAAAAATAATCATCAAAAATCTACTGCAAAAAAAAGCACAATTCAAAAGAGATATAAAAACAAAAAACTGTCCCTTTTCTATCGACAAAAATATTTTCTTTTATTTTACCACTTTTTTTGTTCATTTATTTCGCTGAAAATATTTCTTTCATTGATTTTATGTTGAGTTTTTTTTATACTTTCCACTATTTGAATTATACGAGAAAGAAACATCATACATATCATTGTTTTCTATCATTTTTTTCCACATATGAAATGAAACATAAAATATATATATATATAACATGTGTGTATGATAGTTGTCACTTACAAACGCACGCCAGTGACATTACGACCGATCAGTATATCAGACTCTTTAACCGACTCGATCGAATCACGGAAACAAAATAGTTCATCATCTCGTAAGTAATTATTTGTTAATATACTCATGTTTACACAAATCTCGCACTCTCCTTCAATATCGACGAGAAGTCAATGAAAATCAAGAATTTTAAACAACTACCCTGAACAGAACAAAATTCACTATCACTCAACCATTCAGCAGCAGCATTTTATCTGCATGTTTTTTTTGTCGTGTGCTTATCTGTATTGCTTGAATAGTATGGAATTAGCTTCTTTTAAAAAAAAAAATGCTCGTTTGCTTTAGTTACTATTTTGTTTTTTGCTTTGGTTTTGATTTTTTTATCAACATTTTGAGATGGAATTTTTTTAATCAATTTTTGAAAACTGATTGTTTTTAATGAAAATGTACGCTTAAAAACTGCAACTTCCCATTTTAGAAAAGCTAAATTGATGCTACTTATTGGGGGCGGTGAAAATTCGTTTTTGCACACGTGTATACAATACGTTTGACAAATGTCGCTGCTTTCAATTGAAATCAGCGTACATTCTAAAATGAAGAAAATTCACACGTTGCAAAACTAGAAACGAATTGGGACTCTATTTTTTTTATCGAAACGTTTAGATTAAATTCATTTGATTTGTATTTCCAATTTTTCTATTCTCAATGTACAGCACGCGGCAAATCATCGCTGGGGGCCGATCTGTTAACGGATCCTGGAGAGTATGAAAATCTACCGTTTCATGGACTCCAGACAGCACCAAATAAAGTGAGTATTTTTTTCCTGTTATTATTGGTATCGTCATTTTTTTTAAATCCAATTCATTTCGTTAGTCTGATGCATCTGTATTGTGTATAAATAGAAAAAATTAATTCTAATGGGAAATCCTTTGAAAATATTCTCATGCTGTGCCTATCGTAGCTCTTTTTTTTATTCACGCTCACATTGATTCATTCATTCACATTTCATTTTGATATAACGCACATTCGCATCGCAAAACAGGCTTCGTTTTTTCTTATTCATTACTATGCTCTCGTTCAATAAATATTTGGATTTTTCATGTTAATATTGAATGAAAAACAAAATTTGAATTAATTTCGTGTACATCTGAAAGCATTCACCTTGAAGCAATAAAATTTATAGTTTTGCACAAATGCGCACAGAGAACTTCTCAAGAAAATCAACAAGATATCAGTAAAATTCAAAAATCAAATACAAGAAATCAAAGAAGATGTGCATTGCTCACATCAAATTGCATTAGATGACGAGCATACGTTTGCTTACATTGTATAATGCATAATACGCTTTTGAAATGTATTTTAACACATATGGGACTTAATAAATTAGCATGAAATAGAATACGTATGCACTCACATACATTCACAGTGCAAACATATTGCGATAAAATCCAATTCAGTTAGATGTAAATCAGAATACTGGGCAATTTTTCATGCCTTTTTGTAGCACGTTTGCAGTAGCGTTATGGAGCTAACATTAGCATCATTTTCAGCTCCTTTTTAGGCACCAACTAAGAGTGGTCTTGCAGAGAAACAAATTAATTATCACAATTAATGCCTAAAGTATTTTCATTTAAAACCGAACGGTTAACCTCTTAATTAAAGTGAATTAAACTCATTGGTCGAATTCAAAATTCAATTTGAAAGCAACACAAATCAGTGGAATGTTTTTTTTAAGTAATTTGTTCAAACAATCATATGAACCTGCCCTAATAAATGAGTTAGTTAAGGTGAAATAGTTGAATACTAGTTTACCAACAATTGCAATGAAGAAAAAGAAAAGATAATATTCTAGAAAATTTTCAATCATTTGTATGATGTATATTTGTGTGTATGTGTGGTAGAATGGCATGTTTGCTAGAATCCGAATTGAGTTTATTTTCCCGGAAACAGATCCACAATTTAGCTCATTGCATATCCAAATTTTATTACAATTTGGCCACTAACCCAAATTTTATCTTTCTCATTATCTCTCTCTCTCTCTCTCGAATTTTTCCATTTCAAATCGTTCATTTTCATTCCGAGAAATGTGCTTTAAATGCATAATAACCAGTTTTTTTTATCCAAAATTTAAATGATGTGTTTTTTTTGTTTGTTTTGATCAAAATGCGATGAAAATTTTCTTTTGCGATGGCGCATCAAAATATCTTTTTGCAGGAAATTTTATTGTTAACATCATTGAAATCATCATCTCCGCATATGACATGCACCATTTACAAGCAAATGCCGCTTAAAAGTTGGTATAACAAAAACAAAACCAGTTATGAAACGTAAATAAGTGCGTCCGTTATACCACACATTTACCAAACATATCGACCACGAACAAATCGAAAAACAAAGTAATTCCATCCAAAGTGCCGCGTCTTCAAATACCGCAAAAAAAATGAGATCAATCTAATCAATATGCCAGAAAAGTCAATTGAGCAAGGAAAATTGGAGAATTGCATCTCTGGACACTATCACTTTTGAATGTACGCAACTGTAACGAAGCTATGCCTATGATCGTAATATTGAAAACTGATTGAAACGTTGCAAACATTCATCGGATGCAAACAATTAACAAAGTGGGTATGTTGATGAATGCGTGTGGTTGAAAATTCCTTACCACAGGAGACAAAATAAAAACAACAAACGAACCACTTTCATACACACACAAAACCATATCATTTCGGTTTCACCACCATACCACATACACACATACATGTATTCTATACATTTACTGAAAAATAGAAGAATAGATATATCCCATGTTGGTTATCTCATTTAATTTTCTATATATATATATCACTATTTCACTGTTTGCCATGTTTGTTGATTTTGAAGATGACTTCCGCAAAAATAGTTTGAATTTCCCGGCGGATTGATGCGGTTTTTAGAAGCTCCATGTTTCATATTCGGATAAAAGCTGCACTTGTGATTATCAGAAACTTTGATGCTAAAAAAAATACTCTGCTTATGACTATGGATGGCATGCTCTTGGTTATAATGTATGTTGCACTGCAATGTATCCGCCCACTGACAAATCAATAAAATAGAACTGACAAATCAATTCTATGAAAGCATGTACTGGATGTTTTGGATGCCTAAGAAATGTAGTGGATGTGTGTTGTGTGCATGTAAGCAAAATGAAAATAAAAATTCGGTTTTTCCTGCGGCCCTATGAATCTAATGTTTGATTTTTCTAGCGAATAAAACTTAATGCACCAACCAGTGTTGTCAACAAACAAAAACGAACGAATGGTTCGCTCGTTTATAGTTTGATTGATCGGCTTAGAATAAAAACTCGACTTGTATTTTAGCCCATTCAATTCAATGTTTGTTCATTCTTTTTGCTCAACAAACACAACGAACGAACAAAACAAAACAAATTTTTGTTTCTTACGAACGAACTAAAGTTCATTGACAGCGCTGACACTAATAGTAATGTACCTTGCACCTTCAACTATGTTGACAAAATAGTAATAGTAGTATAGATATTAACACTACAAAATATTCCCGGAATGTGTGCGGAAATAGCTCGAGCCATGAAACAGGTTCGTTTCCATATAATTACAATAAGCAAAAATCACTGCTCTCTAACCCATTCAGTAAAAATTATCCATCCGCTACCACCATGTTTTACCTCCAACACCCTCATCTTCCTCTCTATCTCTCTTTATTTCTCCATTGATGTCTCTCCTGGACACTCCGATTTCGACAATCAAACTTTTGTACATTTCCGCAAGTATTTCCGGTGATATTCGGAAGTGAGAATATAAAGGTCAATCTTTCTTTTTTTTTTGTTTTGTTGTATTTATTCATAATGAAAAAAAAAACCATTTTTGTATATGTGGGCAAAGCAGTTTTATACGCCAGCCAACGCGACACATGGAAATGTTGTGCGAGTGGCACCACGGCAAAAAACAACAACATCGGCAACATCATCATCGTCAACACTACAAACACCACCAACCTATTGTTACAACCTGGCACATAGTTTTCCATCATCAAATTCAAATAGTAGCACAAATACAGCGACCAATTTATCGACTTATCCAAATTTTCTTCACATAAATAGTTCGAATAATAGCACAGCGACCACAACAGCAACATTTGCTGGCATCGCACAACAACACCACCAGCAACAGCAACAACAACAACAACAGCAGCACAAGACCAACAACCATTTTAACAGTAGTCAAGTATCTGCGGATTGCAACAATGCTATTGTTGATAACGATCCAATTAAGTCGACTGCTGTGCAAAATCCATTTCTGGCAAAGCGGCCAAAATCATTAAATCAAATCAAACGAAATTTGGTGCGACCACCGCCGCCACCACCACCGCCGCCGCCAACGTCTATCGCATCATCGGCACAACATCACGCCGTTTCATTTTCATCATTATCAATGCCTCGAACAAAATCGATTGCAATGCACTGCACTATGGCCGATAAGAAATTCAATTCACTAAAATCAATGAGCGCGCGAAAAACACCACAATTTTATTCGTTGCGCTTAAATAAGTGCCGTCGCCACCAAACTGCACTCACTAATCCAACATTTAATACCCAACAAAAATTACTTGTTATTAATAATTCAACCATGCCGTATTTGCATTCGTCGAAGTCACATCATTCAGATTCCGATGCTGAATCAACATCCGTACTGCGTAAGTTAACATTCAATCAGCAACCATTGTACGAGAATCTTGTGAATGCATCGCTCGAATATGGTTCAACCGTTATCGATGGTTTCTACTGTGAAGCGAACGATGCCAACAGCATTTATCGAAGTGATTCGGGCATATCGAATAGTTCATATGAATTAACACCCGTACCAGCACCACGTAATAATCCACGAAACTGTCAAAGTGCACCGGTTTACATGAATCTTCCAAAATATGCATCGATTTGTGGAACGGGCACAAATAGCAAATATCGTGCGGAAAACAACATTACAACAACACCGAACACAAAACTCGGTTTCGCGACAACAGCTTTTAATTATGAGGTTTGTGTGTGCGCTTTTCTAATCGTCCTACATTCACATTTCATTTTTATTTTTCTGCTTCCAAAATTTCCAGATGGAAATATCATGACTTTTTTTTTAATTATATACATTTAACATCTGTATAACCTGCATTTCCTCTTGTTCTTTTTTTTTTGTATTTGATTTTGATCAATTAGCGATTTATGCCTACTAATCCATTCACAACGTCAAGTCGTCGCCAGCAAATACTTGTGCCCAAAGAGTTATTTCCACGTAAAAATAACGGTCATGACACATCAATATCATCAGCATCATCATCATCGAATCGACGTCCCGTTAAGCTTCCATTGCGTAAACATCACAGTTTTCATTTTCAACCATCACAAACGGTGGCCGGCGTTTTGAAGCATGAACAATTTCAGCAACAGCAATCAAAGCATTATCATCATCATAAACAGCAGCAGCAAGTATCGACAAAGGAACGATATAAAAATCAAGGTCCGTTAGTATTCAAGCCATTTAGCGAGAAAAGTGCATTCAAACCAATTATTCCGTCACCAAAAGGTTCCAACGATTCCGAGGACAATGGAGACAATTTAAACGATGACAACCATGATGAACGATATAATTTTGACACACTTTCAATGCCACGCATATGTGGCACAAGCCTAAAACGTCACATATCGAATGTTGAAACATTTTCAAAATTGAATCAATGGCAAAGTGATAACGAAGAAAGTTTTCAAAATTCGACCAACAAAATGAATACGATGGTTGCTGC